CATTTATTTATATTGGTCAACCTATTTCCCAAGGCACCTGAAGGCCAAACAAGGAATAGTGGATGGAAACTGAACAAGGAGAGAGTCAACCTAGTAATAAGGAGGAATTTTCTGACAGTGAGAACAATCAACCCATGGAACAGAAGTTGCCTTCGGAAGTTGTGGGAGCTTCATCACTGGAAGCTTTCAAGAAGAGACTGGACTGTCATTTGTCAGGGATGGTGTAGGATCTCCTGCTTGGGCTGGGGGTTGGACTAGATGACCTACAAGGTCCCTTCCAACTCTGTTAATCTATGAATCGCGTGAACTTCAGCACACCTAGCGTGGCCCAAGATTTCAGCCACAGCTCAATGTTTTCCCCTGCTCTTACAGAACCCAGAATTGGCTTCAGGCCGGATCAAGGAAATTAAGCAGTTAAGTTAAGCAGGAAGTAAGATTGGATTACAGCCCCCTTCTCATCTCAATTGACCAGTGATCTCAGAATGACCCCCTCTCTTTCCTTTTTTCAAAAAAACTCAGAGATTGAGACGTTCGCCCAATGAAGCAACCATGCAATATTATTAAAAAAAAACTGTATTTTGTAAACAAACCGGAAGCTAACGAGGGGGGTATCAAAATAATTAATGAACGAGCATTCGCGACTTCTTCCAACTATTTTTGATTTCTCCTCTATAACCGGAAGGTGGGCCTTCTTGGCTGAGATCAACCGTGGCCAGATATTTCAAACCCGGCACTGCCTCTCGAAGCCTATTTTTGAAGGGATGTTCTTGTGAAGAATGCCACTTGATTCCTGATAGAGGAGATGAGTCAGAAAGTTAACCCTGAAGGTTCAGAGGACTTTCTGCTTCATGTCCTTCCTGGGAATTGAAGGGGAAGTCAACCTCAGATGCCTGGGGAAAGGATTGTGTAGGGTATGAAAAGATATATGCACGCCCCAGGGGTGGTTCTGGCAGTCGTTACTGCCTGTTTGCTCATGGTTGCGCGACGCGCGTGCGCAGTGCAATAAAAACTGCTCTGCGCATGCAGAGAAGCAAAAAAACAAAATAGGCACCGCCAGGAGAACTAGTTCGGAGGTGTGGCAGGATTGGGTCGCTGATGGTTCCCAGTGACCCAGGCTGCCAAACCACTACCGGTTCGGCTGAACCGTGCCGAACCAGTAGGAACCCACCACTGGTACAGTGGTGGGATTCAAATTTTTTTACTACTGGTTCTGTGGGCGTGGTTTGGTGGGCGTGGCAGGGGAAGGATACTGCAAAANTGTACTTCGATGTCTTACTGATTGAGGAATGATGAAATGTTTGCCTTAAAAGAAATAAAACTTTTGAAATCACAAATAATTGTAATCCAGGTAAAATATAGCAAGTGAAAGTAATATTTGTCTCTCTGCCCGAGATCTGGAGAGGATCCTACTAACTAGAGTGGAGAACACTGGAAATCATTAATCAGACGTTAACAATGTGTTCAGAAGTCTTCCTTTATGACCCAAAGGTGCTTTTTCAAGAGGCAGCTGGACTTCCTTGGTTTTCTTCTTTGAAGGCGTTTTACTTCTCATCCAAGAAGCTTCTTCAGTAGCATCAAAGAACTGAAGAGCTGCTTGGATGAGAGACGTCTATGAAGGTTCTCAGTACTCCAAGTCACGGTTGTCCCAAAGATATTTTTCAGGAGGCAACTGGACTTTCTGGTTTTTCTTTGAAGACCTTTCTCTTCTCATTCAAGAAGCTTCCAGCTCTGCTTCTTCAGCTTCTCTGAAGAAGCTTCTTGGATGAGAAGCGAAACGTCTCCAAAGAAAAAAACCAGAAAGTCCAGTGGCCTCTTGAAAAAAGCACTTTGGGGACATTTTTGGATGAGCAGTGAAATGTTTTCAAAGGCTGAAAAAAAAACAACCCAAGAAAGTCCAGTTGCTTTATGACTTTTGGGTCATAAAGGAACGCCGCTGAACGCCGCAGGTTCGCTCTCAGCTGATCGACAGAGCTAACGGTTCGCCCGAACCAGTTCGCTCTCAGTTGATCGTCGGAGCTAACGGTTCGCCCGAATTGGTTTGCTCTCAGCTGATCGACGGAGCTAATGCTTCATCCGAACTGGTTCACTCTCAGCTGATCATCAGAGCTAACGGTTCGCCCGAACAGGTTCGCTCTCAGCTGATCGACAGAGCTAACAGTTTGCCTGAACCGGTTCACTCTCAGGTTCACTCTCAGCTGATCGACGGAGCTAACTTTTGCCAAATTGGTTTGCTCTCAGCTGATTGACGGAGCTAATGGTTCACCTGAACTGGTTCGCTCTCAGCTGATCGTCGGAGCTAACGGTTCGCCCGAACAGGTTCACTCTCAGCTGATCGACAGAGCTAACGGTTCACCCGAACCAGTTCACTCTCAGCTGATCGTCGGAGCTAACAGTTTGCCTGAACCGGTTCACTCTCAGCTGATCGACGGAGCTAACTTTTGCCGAATTGGTTTGCTCTCAGCTGATTGACGGAGCTAATGGTTCACCTGAACTGGTTCGCTCTCAGCTGATCGACAGAGCTAACGGTTCGCCCGAATTGATTTGCTCTCAGCTGATCAACAGAGCTAACGGTTCGCCCGAATTGGTTCGCTCTCAGCTGATCAACAGAGCTAACAGTTCGCCCAAACCAGTTCGCTCTCAGCTGATCAATGGAATTAATAGTTCGCCCAAACTGATCCGAACCGGCTGAATCCCAGCTCTGTTTAGGACTCCCTCAGGAACTTCAGTAGAACACGTGGTAGGTGGAAGTGGCCTCCTGGTGGACTACGTGACAGAATCTGGCCCATCCTTTTATTGTTCTCCCTCTGTGTCTCTTTCTAGGGTCTTTCAATAGAAGAAAGCGAAATTCCCTCTATGTCACCGTGAGTCTCCTCGTCGTCTCGCTCCTCATTCTCACAGTGGGCCTTGCTGCGACCACACGGACCCAAAACGTGACCGTTGGGGGTTACTACCCAGGAGCTATTGTAAGTATAGAATTCCTGGACAGAGGGGAAAACCCGGATTCTTGCCTCGAAACTCTTACAAGCCATTAACAATGGTTTAGAGTGGGAATGACAAGGTTGTTAAAGTATGCAGCCGCTCAGGGGCTAAGACGCTGAGCTTGTCGATCAGAAAGGCCGGTAGTTCGGCGGTTCGAATCTCTAGCGCCGTGTAACGGAGTGAGCTCCCGTTACTTGTCCCAACTTCTGCCAACCTAGCAGTTCGAAAGCATGTAAAAAATGCAAGTAGAAAAATAGGAACCACCTTTGGTGGGAAGGGAACAGCGTTCCGTGCACCTTCGGCGTTCAGTCATGCCGGCCACATGACGACGGAGAAGTCTTTGGACAGCGCTGGCTCTTTGGATTTGAAACGGAGATGAGCATCACCCCCTAGAGTCAGGAACGACTGGCATATATGTGCGGGGGAAACTTTTCCTTACCTAACATGGATGTTAACACAATAGCCAGAGTAGCAAAGTTTCTTTCAGGCAGAAAAAACTGCTGTGTTCATATTACCTCCATCCTTATCTAAGCATGAATAATCTTAACCTAAAATCAAGGAAGGGAATAATTGATGATTTGGAACAGCCAAGGAACAAAGAAATGGAATTGGGGGAAGAGATGTACTATCAATTCTAATACAACTAGTCCTTGCCTTTACGATCACAATTGAGCCCAGCTCCGCCAGACCGTTGTTAAGTGAACTCTTCCCCATTTTACGATCTTTCTTGCCGCTGTTGTCAAGCGAATCACTGCCGGTGTTCAATGAGTAACACGGTTGCAAAATGGATCTGGCCTCCCTATTGGGTGAGAGGGGTTGGAGTAGGTGACCAACAAGGTCCCTTCCAACTCTCTTATTCTGTATTCTATTGACGACGCTTGCCGAAAGGTCGCAAAATGACCCGAAGGGCACTGCAACCGTCATAAACCTGAGTCAGTCGCTGAGCGTCTGAATTTCGATCACATGTCTGACAGGGATGCTGCAATGGCCGTAAGTGTTTTTTCAGTGCCGTTGTCACTTTGAATGAACTGTTGTAAGTTGAGGTGTTCTGACTCCCCCCCCCCCCAGACCAGTGAGTCACGCCGACACAAGCTTACTGTTAGCCACGCTTTATTCACAGTAATTACTCACAGACAAGACATTGGCAGCAACCCAGACTCCCACAGATAAGAGGTACACACAAGAGCTTCTCCAGCCTAGTATAACGGTTGTGTCCTGCAAAAGAACTCCTCCCAAAGTCTCTTCTTATATACTCTCTTGGGAGGAGCCAAGTCACAACTACCTGGGCCTGATTATCTCCTATGAGTCTGTCTCTGTAATTGCTGCCTTCGCTTCTCTGCCCTTCTCTGCCGGGCGTCAGGGACCAACTCCCTTAGCGCCTCCCCACTGCTCCAGGGTCTGACGTCAAGGACAAACTCCCTTTGACTTTCACCGCTGCTCCATGCCTCAGGCACCTCCTGGTGGCCAACCTGCCTCTCTAGTCCCTGCTCGGAGTCTGAACCCTGTCCAGGGTCCTCCACATTTTCCAGAGCTGACTCATAGGGTCCCTTGCTATCAGCTCCTGCTGGGCCACAACATGAGGACTACTTCTATACATATTTAGCTCTTCGATTCCCCATAATTGTTGATCCCCATTTTTTGCCCTAAGACTAACTCAACTGCCTGAGTCTTAGCCAACCAAGAAAAAAACTAGGAAGGTCAAAAATTGATAGTTCTATATCCTATATTGCCGGATCGGTCTGTGTTCCCGTAGATGCTGGCGTAAAAAGTGTAGAAATATTGTGTTTGCATACGTTTATGCTCTTCCTTGTTCCTCCTCTTGTTTCCAAATCCGACTATGCAGAAAAAGCAATTGACTTCCAGGCCAGAATGTAAAAAACATTTTTTTAAAAAAATATTTTCCCTTTCAGCTGGGTTTTGGATCATTTCTTGGCATTATCGGATCCAATTTGATAGAAAATAAAAGACAGATGGTAAGTCGCTCCGCCGGTGAAGTTATTTCTCTGTTCATGTAATAGAATTTTTTTTTAAATATAATTTTATTTCGCTTCCCTTGCTCTTGAAGCAGACATTTCTGCCCGGTTGTTCTTCCATTTTTTGTCGCTTAACTTGATGAGCAGGAAATTCAGTAGCATACAGAGAAGCTCCCCCCTCTCCCCCCCCCCGACACTTAATCAAAGGAGTTTATAACTCAGCGGTAGACATCTGTCACAAGCCAGGATTACAGCTTAAGCCGCTTGAAAATTAGAATCGTGACCTGCCTGACCATCTCAAAACTGAACTATGAGTGTGGAGTGAAGGTGCTGACATAATCCAGCCTTCACTGGACACTAAAACATACGATGAATGGTTGCAGGAACCGGGCATGGCTAGTCTAGTGAAGAGAAGAACCAGGGGAGACATGATAGCAGTCTTCCAATATTTGAGGAGTTGCCACAGAGAGGAAGGGGATCAAGCTGTTTTCTAAAGCACCTGAAGGCCAGACAAGGAATTGTGGATGGAATACTGATCAAGGAGAGATTCAATCTAGAAATAAGGAGGGATTTTCTGACAGTGAGAACAATCAACCCATGGAACAGAAGTTGCCTTCAGAAGTTGTGGGAGCTTCATCACTGGAAGTTCTCAAGAAGAGATTGGACACTCTAAAAAAGATGTTGAGACTCTAGAAAGAGTGAAGAGAAGCGCAACTAAGATGATTAGAGGACTGGAGGGTGAAACATACAATGAACGGTTGCAGGTACAGGGCATGGCTAATCTAGGGAAGAGAAGGACCAGGGGAGACATGATAGCAGTCTTCCAATATTTGAGGGGACGAGAGGAGGGGGTCAAGCTATTTTCCAAAGCACCTGAAGGCCAGACAAGGAATAGTGGATGGAAACTGAACAAGGAGAGAGTCAACCTAGTAATAAGGAGGAATTTTCTGACAGTGAGAACAATCAACCCATGGAACAGAAGTTGCCTTCAGAAGTTGTGGGAGCTTCATCACTGGAAGCTTTCAAGAAGAGATTGGACAGCCATCTGTCAGAAATGGTGTAGGGTCTCATGCTTGGGCTGGGGGTTGGACTAGATC